ACCCCTAACACTGTACCTTTAACAATCATTCCTCCACAGGAAGGTAGAGCCCCTCAAGGGCACAACAATCCAAAGCCATTTAGTATAAAACCTTCTGATACTTGCTTTACAGTTAACACCACCCAGCCACACAAAATACATTAACTTATCTTCACCAAAAAATCCAAACCTCATTAAGCAGATAATCTGGCTCTATTCTTACTTCTAGAAGCAGAAATTGATGCTCAGAGAGGCTAAATGCCAGTTACCACTGAGTAGGAGAATAAGAACTAGAGCTGAAGTTTTCTTTTTTTTTTTTTTTTTTTGAGACAGAGCCTCAAGCTGTCCCCCCGGGTAGAGTACTGTGGCATCACGCTCACAGCAACCTCCAACTCCTGGGCTCAAGCGAGTCTCCTGCCTCTGCCTCCCAAGTAGCTGGGACTACAGGCCCCCGCCACAACACCCGGCTATTTTTTTTTTTTTTTTGGTTGCTGCCGTCATTGTTGTTTGGCGGGCCCGGGCTGGATTTGAACCTGCCAACTCAGGTGTACGTGGCTGGTGCCTTAGCCACTTGAGCCACAGGCGCCAAGCCGAGCCCAAGTTTTCAATTCAGATTCCAGGGCTGTCCCAAAGCTCCATGCACTATTAAGATCTCTATATAAGGCTTCTTCCCTACTATAGAATATTTTAATAAATTATATTCACAACAATCAGCATGAATCAGCAAAAAGCAAAGGTCCAGGTTACTATTTAAGAAAGGAGGAGTCTATCATTTTGAAAAGATTTCCATTAAAATGAAATGGAAACAAGACGAAGGCAGCATTTGGATCCATTTAGCTCTCTTCCTGCCACCCCAAACACATATGCATAGAACATGTACTCAAAAAATACTATTGAATAAATGAAAAAGTCACTATGCTAAAAAGAAGGAATTTTCAGCCATCTAGAAAACTTGACTATCTGGAACCACTAATTTTTCAAGCATATCAAAGTATAAGCACCAATTTTTTCTGTGACATAATTAAAAGTCAAAATAAAAACCTAATTCACAAATTTACAGTTAACTAAGTCACCTTACTAAAGTAAAGTAGTTAGCTGAAATTCTATAAAATCCAGGATTAATGAGGTTCTCGCAACAAGATATTACCTAATACAGTAGAACCTCTGTAAGGTGATCCCCCCAAAGGTACTATAGTAAATTGGTCAACATACAGAGTTGGTCAGCATAAGGAACTAGGCCTACTGTGCTTAGTGTTACGTACATGTGGTACACGTCTGGTCTATGAAAATTAGGTCAATTTAAGGAGGAGGTCAACTATGGGGGTTCTACTGTAATTGTACAAATTCATTATTCATACAATGGAATGTCATATTCTTCAATTTATTTAAAAAATATTTATTGAGTGTCTACCATGTTGCTAATCACTATTATAGGAGGTAAGACTTAGCCATTCCATGGCAAATGTTTCATGAAGAACTTTAAAAAATTTAAACTGGAAAAACTGAATTAAAAAAAACTAACTCAACCACATAAAAACATATACATGTGCATTAAGCTAAAACATCTAAATATTAGTTGCCTTCTCAAGATGATGGAAATTACAAGCAATATTTTTCCCTTTTCTGTATTTTCCTTTTCTATATTTTCTACATTTTCACAAATAATATATTAACAGTTTTATAGTCAAGGGGGAAAAGTAATTTATTTTGTTTTTTTATTAGAGACAGAGTCTCACTTTCTCACCCTTGGTAGAGTGCCGTGGCATCACAGAGCTCACAGCAACCTCAACTCCTGGGTGTAGGCAATTCTCTTGCCTCAGCCTCCCAAGTAGCTGGGACTACAGGCACCTGCCACAACAGCCGGCTACTTTTTTGTTGCACTTTGGTCAGGGCCGGGTTTGAACCTGCCATCCTCGGTATATGGGGCCAGAGCCCTACCCACTGAGCCACAGGCACCACCCCAGGAAAAGTAATTTAAAATATAAAAAATTTTAGCACAGAACCTGATACTAAAATATTTCCTAAGTTAAAAACTATACTGCCAGCTATGGATACTGAACTAAATAAAAACTACATGCTCCATACAAACACTAAAAGTTGTCAATCTAGATTACAGAAGACTATGGCAACCATCTGTAACCACAGCAACACCTAACTGTACTCAGGTCTAATCTTTGCTAATGTAATATTGATCTAAAAGGATATGTCTTTCTCTTCTAAAAATTTACTGCCATTTTCATGAAATAAGAACAAGGAAAAGAAACAGTTGAAAATTATGTAGTTGCCTTATATCATTACAAATGTCACAGGAATATGGAATCCTATTTATGAACAAATCATATTTTGTCACCATGCGATGAAAATGATAAGAAGACTTCATTTCTTCTAAGGAAGAAGTTGTCCCTTCAATCCTTCTGTTGTTCATAAATGTGATGACTGCATTTTCATGCCCACCTATGAGATATGCCTCCCTTACGCATTGTTACAATTCCAGCACGTTACCCCTCTGATATGAAAAAAAAAGTTTCCCCCCTCTCTTTCGGTATTTACTGTGTACCAGTGATCCGTGCGCTGTGGAAAGAGATCTTCCCTGTGTGCGTCGCGCCTTGCCAAGATCCACATCAGTCCCGAGGCATGAACATATCTTAACAAACTTCAGCTCTGAAAATGGATTCACATCCAAGGAGACGAGCAGCCAGTTCCCAACTCACAGGTCCACATCCACATACCTCACGAACATCAAAGGTCCTCTTCAGGTTAGCACCAACTATTCCATACAGTTCGTCAGCAGGAAATAAAGGATCCTCAGGAGGTTCAATGGTAACCTGCAGAAATACACAATGACTTAAAGACATGATTTCCAGGTGACAGGAGCCAAATGCTTTTCAGGAACATAAAAGGTATGAGAACATATCCTACTTACATCCAGTTTCTTTTGATAATTGAGATTCTTCACGATCTTCCTAGCTAAATGAAGGGCATGATGGTCATCCAATGCATAGTGGTCAGTTACTCCAGACTTTCTACAGAGTAAAGCACACTAAAATAATCAGAACACAGAAAGGAGAATAAATAAATATTATAAGCCCAAGTATCTTTTCTCAATCAAGGACAAGGCCACACTTTTACTTCCAAAACATTTTAATAAATGTCATCTTCTTTGTTCCTCAAACAAATGGCCCTGGCAAATGATATTATCCTTGTTTTTACAAACAGAAAAAACTAAGGTACTGTAGAGGATGCCAAGAGCCAGACCACCTCTGAGCAAGATGATTTAAGCTGGGGCTGGATTCTCAGGCAATTCACCCACAGGAGCTTCTTACTGAGAAAGAGCCTATGCCTTCAGCACACCGTCATTGTTAATTACTCCTCTCACCTGTATTGTGCTGTCTCAATAAAAGGCTAGTTCGGAGGTTGCTCGGGGCTACCCTGCAAAGAAGGGCTAGCCCGCCTCCCACAAGCTTGTACTTCTAATCCGCATCACGCCTCGTTCCTTCCTGCGTGATCAAGACCAGGGGCCATGGGGGCCCTGTAGGTGGCAACAAGGTACACCTAAGTGTCTTGCCCTAGGACCATGAGAACTCACACTTCCTATTTTGAAACTTGACCTTCCTCCGTAGATCATGCACCTTCTATTAGCTGGTCATCCCCTGCACCTCACCAGAGTTGGATTTAGTCCAACCACAGATGGCACCTTTCCTAATGTAGCTGGCAACTTAACAAAGCATTTCCACCTAACTGAGCTACTGATGAAGATGCCCGCTATGCTCTCTCATTTCTGAGAAACAGCTGAGCCCCTCCATATATGGCTAGACCTGACCATAAGCCGTCATAGGCAACAAATGAAAAGGCTTGACTACACTGTCCTTGTGGGAGAAACTGGGAATTGATCAAATGGTTTTGTGGGAAGAGCCATGAAAGTTCCCAAGTGAAGTAAATGAAGCATGGGCTTGCTCTGTCCCAAATAAATGGCTTGTTATTTCAGATGCCAATGTGCTATGACTGCCTATGAAAGATTTAAAATAAATCTGTAAAGTCAGGCAAAAATATATACCTGAAGAAAAAAAAAAGCAGAAACATAGTTTATTTTGTGAGTGAGGATTAAGATGCTTTGATCTAAATTTTGATATCTTATCTAGACAAAACACAAAACCCTTGGGAGACTTCTCAGAGCGGGGCTCTGTGACTTCACGCCACTCTCTGCCTCTGGATCAAGTGTTCCCAAGTAAGAACAGAGACTACGTTTCCTCCTGTCTAGTCCTCTGATGCTCACAAATGGCAGACTCTTCAGTTTCTCTAACTTAACACATTTTATGACTAACCATACCTTTTGAATGCATCACACATAATTCCAGCTACCTATAATTGCTGCCTTCTAACTACATTGTAATTCAGTCAACCAACAGAAGCAGAAGGAATGGCTTCTAAATCAGTAAATATTTAGAATAAAGGGTTCGCTTACTAAAACTGCCTAGCATTTATCAAAACAGCAGGAAAGGGAAACTTGATGAGATACTATATATGTAAATCTTTCTGTCAAATTAGCTCTTAAGGATAACTGATCGGAGAGATATAAATATGTATTTATAATGACAAATAAGAACCAAAGCAATGTGCAAATAGTAAGTTTTATTACACTGCTCAGAAAAAAGAGCCATCATCACCTAATCATTTTCCCATGATTTTAGACAGGTCGTGATGACTAATAACAGCCGTAACGGAGTACTTAGTATGCACCAGGCGCTGTGCTATGAGGTAGGTACTATTCATATCTTCATTCTACACACAGGGAAATGAGACTTGGGGAGATGAAATCATTTGTCTAAATCACAAGGGTAATAAATGAGGCAAATAGAAGATAAATTCTAGAATCTACACCCCTAACTTGATATGCTGCTTCTAGTTTTACTTTTTTTAAACACTCCAAATTATTTGAAAATTTATGTTTCCCAAATACTCTCCTCATCTCCTTCTGTTGGCTAAGCACTTACCTACAACAGAAGTCTGCTTCCTCCTGTGCCCCTAACTCACCCTTTTTGTGCTTGTAGCCGTGTTCTCTCCAAGTGGAAACATCCACTCCAGCCACACCAATCACTCCCTGTAACAGTCAGCAAACAGCCGGGCAGACAGTAACAGAGCACCTATGCTCATATTTTGCTCTTCCCTACACAAACAGCACTCTGCTCCAGCTCAGGCAGAACTCCACCTCTCCCCCCAGCGAGGAGAAGGAGAGTCTTCCGAATACTTCTCTACTCATTCCTGTACTCATTCTTCCTCTGGACTTGAGTTGCAAAACTGGAAGCAGGCTGGCACACTTATTTTGTCATTCTTTTTAATTCATGCATTTATTTCTCTCATCTGACTAAATTATAAATCCTTGAGAGCAGGTTCTAGGCCTGAATTTCTCTGTTTTTCTCATAACACTTAGTCCAATCAAACTGTCCACGTGTACGATGGGAAAGGAATGAATGAAAAGCTGAGGCAAAGATTCCTTCACCAACTATTCAAGAGGCGCGACAGTGTGCTTTGATGGGAGAATAGAAATACCGCTCTCTACCATACTTCTCCCACATCCTGGACTCTTCCCACAGCCACCTGTCACTCGGGTTTCTGGCATGGCAGATCAAAGGGAGGTCTGCTGCACCTGTCAGGCCACTGAGCTCGGTGACTAGAGCTACATGCCATTTTTGTCCGGGTTTCTTAGGCCATGGTCCTGGGCCCTCTTCTCTATCTACATCCATACAGAGGTAAGCTCATCTAGTTCCACTGGTTTAAATTCCACCTCTATGCTGATGACCCCAAATAAAGACCCAGCCCTCAGGTGGACTCCACACTCACCGCCAAATGCCTACTCAGAATCTCCACTTGCATGTCTCACAGTATCTCTAATTTATCAGGTCAGAGATGCCCGACCCGCCTCCTGCCCTATCCCCATATCTGCTCCTCCTCACTCGTCTGTCCCAATTCCAGGAAGTGAAACAATTCTATGTCATCATCTTTGTCACCTCATTTTCCTGCACTCCCTATACATAAGAATTCCGCCTCTGAAATAAAGCTCAAATCTGTTCCCTCACCTATACCTTCACTACCACTATGACCACCGAAAGCCACCAGCATCCCTCACCTGTGCTATTGATACAGCCGTCTACCTTCTTGCCAACCCTCCAGGCATTTGCCATTCAGCAGCCAGAGGTACTTTTTTAAATAATACATTTGAGAATAGCACATTTCTCCTTAAAGTCCTTCAATGGTTTCCCAATTGGTCTTTTTTTTTTTGGAGACAGGAGCCTCAAGCTGTCCCCCTGGGTAGAGTGCTGTGACATCACAGCTCACAGCAACCTCCAACTCCTGGGCTTAAGTGAGTCTCCTGCC